CTCTGCCCCTTCGCACTCTACCGTAACGGATTATATTGAAATCGCAAAATATTATTTATTTTTTAAATACTGTACAATATTTTATTAGATTTCTACTTCAAGCGGTTTAGGTGGTCACTCAGTGTAGTTTAGTATCTATGACTCAGTATATAAAGAGTATATTATAGTAGATACACATTAAACAGTGACATCTGTCGGTAAATGGCAAAACTAACTTTACTACAAATTAAATTTTATTCAGCTCGTTTTAACTGTATCCAATATAAATTAAATTTAAAAAATGCTATTTGCAAACGAAATAAAAAAAAACTTCTGATATAAAATAAGAATTTTGTCTAATTTTAAATACCTATTAACTAAGCAAATAAAAACATAAATTATTAATATGCACATTATTACTAATTCCAAATTTTAAACTAAAATGCGTCAGGACGGCAGTACGGACTCTTCCCCGCTCCAAGAATGCCTACAATGATACCCTTTTTTATATATACATCTCATTGAAGTCATTGCATCACCAAGTTACTCCACTCCTGAGCGTGGGTGCTCAGGCTGCCCCGCATATTCTGGGGGGGGGGCAAGACTACAGCTACTCGGGACAAACGGAGCAACAAGACCAAGGCGACCCCTGCCACGCTATCCGTGAATTTCGGCAATATTCGGGGGACTTCACTCTAACCTAAACGCCGTCCACTACCATCTCGAGACGGTGATGCTGGCTCTGCTCTTTCTGATAGAGACGCAGGTGTCCTCTCCGGCTGATATCTCGTATCTCTCCTACCCGGGGTACAAACTGCCTTTGTGCCTCGGGTTGGAGTTTGCGTTTACGTTAGAGAGGACATCTGTTCTCGACGCCTCGGCAGTCTTGAAGGTTCGGACCTGTCCATCATTTATAATAATAAATAATAAAATCCTTTATTTCGACGAACAATAGTCATAGATTGTTAGTAAAACAAACAAACAAACTAAAATAAAATAGAAATTAATATTAAAATGTCAGTGACAATGGTACTTATCCTATATTAGTAACTTAACCTACACCCAGCCTCACATAGCGAAACCCAGGTGGGGTTCTCCTGGTGCTAGTGTGTGCAACATTTCAAGTTCTCCAGAGGGGGCTATCCAGTTTCACAGCCAATGTGCTGAGAAGGATGTTGGAGCTCCTTAATAGCCTGCTCATAATGGACGCAGCACGCTTGCGCATGATCGCGTAGAAGTCGTCCACACGAGCATCCGCAAACATTGCCGACGCACTGCAGTTTCGAGGCCTCCTCAACTTCACCCTCACCACATTGTTGTACTGAACACGCAGAGCACTGTAGGCTCGCTGCGTATAGTTAGTCCACAGACTGCACGTGTAAAAGGATTGGCAATGCGCCTTGAACAAAGTTTACTTGACTTGTGTCGTACTACGTGCAAATCTGCGAGCCAACATATTGCCCCGGACCGACAGCGCTCGGCGCTCTCGTTCAATGTCGCTGTCGTACCACATAGCTGAATACGTGGCTTGAAGTCAAGTGGTTTTTTTTAACCTCTGAATACAATAAATTCACTCTTTTTTGAGTTGTAGCTGAGTCCAGTCTCCTCGGCATATTTTTCACAAATTCTCAACAGTTTACGAAGCCCGCTGACTGAGGGGCTCAACTGAACCATGTCATCTGCGTAACTAAAGTTATTCATCGAAACACCGTCTATTGAGCAACCGACACCTGCTCTGCTGAGCCTCTCAATCAGTCTGTTACATAAAGATTAAACAGCCTGGGTGACGTCAGTCCTCCCTGCCTCACTCCGCACTCCAGTTTATAGGGGTCACTAAAGGCGTTACCCCATCTAACTGTGTTAGTCTGTTCGTATAATACACACACACACACACATATATATATATATATATATATATATATATATATATATATATATATTTCATTCGATAGGCCTAAACCCGAACTGTGCATCATGTAACTTTACTGTCTTACTTAACTGTGTATCAAGCAGACTATCCAGAACCTTAGCCGAGATGGTCGCTATCGGCCTGTAGTTGGTTTCATCCACTGTATCGCCCGTCCTATTCTTAAGGATAGGCACAACTACTGTCCTCATCATTGTATCAGGCAAGTAACCATGACTAACACATAGGTCGTAGAGCAATTTGAGGACTCTGAAAAGGTGCACACCTGCATATCTGAGGTGTTCGACGCTGAGGCCATCGTGACTTGGTGATTTCCCACGCTTCATATTGTTTATATCTGATTTAACTTCAGCGATTGTGAAGCGCAGCGGGCTACCCCCTATAACCTCACTGTCCCCTGCGTCACCATCATTCACCATATAACTAACCCTGCACGGTTCCAATTTAAACTGCGATATGAACAGGTTCGCTATATTCCGACATCCACTCATGCCCCCACGTGAGCTGAGAGACTCGACCTTGGACTCAGTCTGTTCGTGTGCTGACAGAATTTACCAAATTGCTTAGCCTCACACGAAGATACCAGAATATCCATTTTAATTTGTTCTTCATTATCCTGGCACCATTTGAATTTGCTTTTAAAAGCCTTACGTGACTCTTTCATATCCTCGTGTGCTGCCCCACACGTTGGCTTTCCAACACATACTCATGACTGAAAACAAAGACGAGCTCTGTCATGAGCCGGTCTCACATGCCTGTTTCATCCCACCATCTGTCGCGTTTTGTTACGCTGTACAGTCTTATGACTATAAATTGCAGCATCCTGCATTATACCTATAATATTCTCGTATAATTTATTTATAATTAATTTATGCTCAAATTTATCACAGAATTTATCACTTATTTAATGATTTCTTATATTTATGCGAACACTACACATTGATTAAAACTACTTTTACGGATTTTATCGCGTTTATTTTACTTTTAATTACTTTTATTTTTAATTCCTGTGGCCGAAGTAGAAAAAGGGGAGGCAAGTGTTGTGGCCGAAGGAGGAAGCCGGGCAAGGTGTTCTGCCCGGGGAGCGGCCAACACTCCGTGTGATAGTTCGGAGATGTTCTGTATATACTGTTTATGATTCCGAATGTTGATAGCGTGATTTAGGCTTCGATGTGTTTCGCTTGTGGCGCGACGACAGCGCCGCTACATCACCCCCTGCTCAGACCGGAGGTCGATAGTGTAGTCGAGTTGTCGAGGAATGTGCAAGTGCCAGGAGATTGCCTTGTAGTCTGCGGTGAGTCGAGAAGAAGGCAAGTAATCTGCGAGAGTGCCGTGAAGCAGAGGTGAGCAGTAAGGCTCAGAGCCGTGCCGAACACTGTATAGCGCAGAGAGTAGCTTGAAGGAACAGGAAGCATTATTATTCCAGTGCTGCGATGAACCTTGTGAAGCTAGATGGCTTGCAGGATATGAAGACTGCAGTTTATATCTGCTCGGGAGCGAATGGGTGGGGTATTCTATGACGATGATGAAGCTTGAAGTTTCCGAAGGTTGTTTGGTTGCATGTTCAGATCACGTCGGTTAGTCACCACTGTGGCCGGTGAGGAAGGAAAGGGGAGATCTCCCGCCGGGCAAGGTGTTCTGCCCGGGGAGCGGCCAACACTCCGTGTGGTAGTTCGGAGATGTTCTATATATACTGTTTATGATTCGGAATGTTGATAGCGTGATTTAGGCTTCGATGTGTTTCGCTTGTGGCGCGACGACAGCGCCGCTACAATTCCCGACGTTTCGGGCGCTTTCCAGCACCCATGGTCACGGGGGACTGAGATGACTGACGTCCCGATGTCATTGTTAAACCCGGAGTACCTTCAGCTTTTTTAATTATTATTTATGGTCCGATCTATGCAAAATGAACTGACTATGTCCTGAGGTCTTGCAGTGGTATGCTTGGGTTTAGTTTTAATTTTATTGATTATAGGATCCCAAGCAGGTGGTAGTACCCAGCCTCCTTCTCTATTGAAATTAGGATGTTTTTTAATTTCAATAGCCTCACGTATCCTTGGTAGGAATCGGTGCTCTTTCGCGAGGATTTGTGGTCTATCAAATCTGATGTAATGGTTGGGGCCGTCTAGGATATGATCGCAAACTGCAGACTTCCCGGAACGTTGATGCTTCACATCAGCTATATTTTCTTTTACGCGGGTTCTAATTGATCTTTTTGTTTGTCCTATATAGATGCAGAAGTGTACAAGCTTGATTGTAATGTGGTCTCTCTTATATAGGACAAACAAAAAGATCAATTAGAACCCGCGTAAAAGAATTATTAGCTGATGTGAAGCATCAACGTTCCGGGAAGTGTGCAGTTTGCACTTCCTAGGTCGGTCATTAACCCCATCGGCCCGCTCGTTTAGTCTTAACTATCTTGCAGGCAAAATCCGCCCCTCCAGTTATTCACAAAAGAAAACACATTCTTACGCCATAACAGCGCAACACCCCCGTGTGGTCGCCCACGCAAAATGCCCACGTGAATCTACAGTAGTAGTACCCGTGGCTTCAAAGTCTTCGTGGACGGTGCTGAGGTATGCGAGGTCGTGGTCCATTAGCCAGGTCTCTTGCAATGCTACTACCGAGGCACCCTCACACAACACCCTCACACTATCTACCGATCGCTTCAGGGACATACAATTAAAGCTAACAAGCTTTAATGTCCGACTTTCATGACTATTTTTGTCCTGACCCATTATTTATGTTGTTCTCTTGATCCAACAGTGTTTTTTTTTCACATTTCTAAATATTATAAATCGTCTAAAATATATGCCTTCCGGCCATAATTTATCATCACTAAATAAGGACAACTTACTCCTAGGTATATAGAACTTGAAAGATATATAACCCCTTGAAGATTTCATATGTACTATTTCTGACACAATACGAATATGTGTCTTTTCGAATACATAATCCGCAACATCTTGCTCTGTATTCTCCATTGAGACATTGTAAATTCAAAGCGGGATTTACACATCGGCTGCCCTTAATTTAAGTGACGGATCTATCGAAGCCTTTCCCCGCATGCCTTTAAAACGTGACGTCTTACGCCTTACGACCTGAACCCATTCTCCTTCACTATTATTTTGTACCTCGGCTTCCCCAGCACCGCCCGTTGTGATCTCGCGTGACGCCACCGCAACAGCGGCAGCGAAGACGACGACAGCGGCGCGCGCGCCACCGCTTCGACGTTCGGCACGTGCAAAGTGCATTCTTGATCGCCGCAGTAGGCCTCCTGTCCGCGGTGGGCCTCCACGTGTTGCCGTTTCTGCCCGGAAGTGACAGAGAGAGGCTCACCGGTTGATACCGCCGCAGCTCTCGCGTAGGAAGGGGATGGGTGCGCGATAACTCGTTCTTGCATAGATATGCTCGGCGGTGTATCACTTCCTAGGTCGATCATTAACCCCATCGGCCCGCTTGTTGAGTCTTAACTATCCTGCAGGCAAAAGCCGCCCCTCCTGTTATTCCATTTTCCTCGTTTTTCCATAAAATGTATCCGGATTGTTTTCTTTGTCATCAACGTATTTTTCAAAATCTTTTTTTGTAATATATTCGTCCTGCTTCCCTTGTAGGTCACGTACCTGAGTCTGAAGCAAAAGAATATCCTTCAACAGACGCGTAGCGTCGACATGGTCAAATGTAACGGGTGGCAACTTATGTAGATCTTTTGCCACAAATATAGGAATGTCATCGGGCTCAGCACTTCTTAATACCCCGATAATGTCATCTATATTTTTCTGTTTCCGGTCTTCATCCTTCCGTTTAACCAGTCGTTGTGGAATCGACTCGAACAGCAAACACTTTGCCTCGTAAATCTCCTCCTCATCAAAGGACTGCTTGCATAACAGTGCCAAACTAACATTGTTCATGACGTCTAATTTATTTTGGCAAAAACATAACACCTCATTTATCACAATCTGACAACTATTACACTTTAGTTTACTCATCTCGCTAGAGGTCATCAACCTCTGACCGATCGCGCACGCTGTCAGCTGACGACTATGATGATTTAGCTACGCGTAGACAGTGACGATCATCCGCGCGTCTACGGGTGCCTCTATAGGTCGCATAGCGGTAATGCCGAAACAGACCGACTCTTCGACCACGTCCAAATGGCTACAGATTCATTACTACAGCAGATCTCATCCGCAGAGATCGTGATCCTCGGCGATTTTAACGCCCATCACGCCGAATGGCTTAATTCACGTTTAATCGATCATACGGGGAGATCTGTTCATGATTTTGCCTTTGGCATATGGTCTGACAAAACTGGTTACTTCGCCTACGCGGATTCCAGATATGGAGGATCATGCACTTTCCCTGTTGGACCTTCTGCTGACGTCTCCACCCGGATGAATATCAGATTTCCGTCGACGCCTCTTTAGGCTGTCGGATCATTGTCTTGTCCGGAGTGTGATGCCACTCACGTTGAAATTGCAGTTGCATTCTGCAGGCTGCCACCGTGTTTGGCACTATAGGTCAGCCGATTCAGATAGCATGCGGTCTTTCTTTGCATTTTCATTTGGCGGGTTTGCTTCTCGTCGGAAGATCCCAACGTTGTTGCGGATTCTGTCGCTAATGTGGTACTTCAGGGTATAGAACTTTTTATATTTACTCTGCCATGGTTTGGTCGCTCCTGTAAAGTAGCATCATGCTATAAGCAGGAGTGCTACCAAGCCTGGGCTAACGCATCAACTTCCCGGGATGTAAACACCAGCGCTCTAAAAAAGAAGTTTAATTCCGCCTCCAGGTCCTTCAAAAGAGTCATTGCCAAGGCAAAGTCAGAGCACATAGGCAGAATTGGCGAGAAACTAGTTCGCCTTCCTTCTGGAACCCGGGCATTCTGGTGTCTCGCCAAGGCTGTCCAGGGGAATTTCAGTCAGCCATCTATTCCATCTCTGCACAGGGAGGACGACTCACTGACCCATACCGCAAAGGAGAAAGCCGATCTGCTAGGGTTTTTCTTTGCGTCCAACTCGACAATCGATGACGGGGGGCGACTTGGCGTAGTCCCAAAATCATGGAAAACGGCTTTCGTCCACCCGATCCCTAAAAAAGGTGATCCCTAAAACCACTCAGACCCGTCCAACTACCGGCCTATCGCCATCACCTCCTTGTTCTCCAAAATAATGGAGTCCATTGTAAACTGCAAGCTGCAAGCAAGCAGGTACCTCATGGTACCTTGAGGGTAACCGACTGATTAGTGATCGCTAATACGGTTTTTGTCGTGGTCGATCAGCTGGTGATCTTATGGTCTACCTAACTCATAGATGGGCGATGGCAGTAGAGTCCAATCGGGAGGCATTGGCCGTTAGTTTGGACATTGCGAAGGCCTTCGATTGGGTTTGGCACAAAGCACTTCTTTCGAAGCTCCCTTCCTATGGGCATCCCGAGAAATTGTGCAATTGGATCACCAGCTTTCTTGCAGCTCAGAGCATCAAGGTCATTGTAGACGGTGCAAGCTCCGATTACAAGCCTATTAATGCTGGTGTTCCACAAGGCTGCGTGCTATCGCCAACGCTATTTCTTCTGCATATCAATGATATGTTCCAAAAATAGGTATGTTGACTTTATTTAAAATGGTACGCCTGGAAATCCGGAATTGCTTTTGATTAATTGCTATTGATACGATGATAACTTCTTAGATTTTATGAGATCAACCACTAAGTTTAGCATTTTGGTAGAATTATTCACGTACTGCCGACAATGTTTTCATTTATTTTTGTTTCAGAACTGGTATTTTTCTTGTTTAGAGGCACCTTCTATCTTCTAATAATTATAAGGTACGTTTAAGACTATTTAGTACGTAAGTTCTACAATGTAGGTATCTATCTTAAGAAATAGATGGTAGTCAAACGCAAGTCTATTCTCAAATAAAAATACAATAAAAATATTAACTTTATTACATATAAAAATGATAAGTTTCTTTAGGATATTTATGTAAAACGTAAAGGTTATATTATGTTCTAACTACGTTCACGCTTGCGCATTTAAAACCGCGGAATTTCACTAATTTTATTATCAAAATAATAATTGACAACCCTACCCTAAGTTTGTCTTGATTTTACCAACTTAAAGAAGTTTCTTAGTTGAGTTTCTTAGTCTCGTTTTAGAAGATCCAATCATAGAGAGAAGGATAAAAGACTGTTTACGCCAAATCGTAACAACTTGAAACTTGCAAAGGCGCTCGTCTCGGGCGGGAAACCGGTTTGGCGGTGCGCCGGGGGGATTCGTGTTGCGGCCTGCGGCCGAGCCGATTAGACTAGAATAATCTTTGTTCGCGACGGCCGTGTAGGTTAGAATCGTTACGTCGCATTAAGACTGCCTCTTTTTGAGTTGTCTTTTTTCGTTCATATACGTGACAACGAGGCTTTCCTTGAGTTTGAGTGACTAATTTAACTTCGATTGCCATTAATTTGCGTCGACGCGTGGCTTGTGTCGTATTTTAATTCGTACGAAGGAATTTTGCTTTGTCAGTTTGAACGCTAAACTTTGTGACCCGGGTGGAGATCGCGTTCGATTATAGTTTGTGCTGAGTGACGTTAGACTTGAGTTCAGATAGCGGTGAACGCACACTGGAGTGATTGCGCCTTGTGGAACGGGGCAACGCATGTGGTTCTGCTGACCGATTACATCGGTAACGTCAGGTTACATTACACACCTTCCTACACCACTCACTACCTAACATTTACTTGCACCGGAACTCGGTAAGTTTGTGTTTGCTTATCCAGCCATTACATAATTATTATCCATAGGCCATTTGAGCCCTAACCCTCTGTTGCCCGTCCAGTTGGGTTACTGATGGTCCCTAGCGCAGTCGACTTCTGTCGAGGCAACTGAGGGCCGTAACAGAGACTATTTTTTATTTAATATGTTTTATCAAATCCGTAAAAATAGTCTAAAATACTCACACAATAAAATTTTGAAATGCAGGTAAAATATCTGCGACCACCATTTGCACAATTCTGACATTCACAAACGTTTCACAACTTTTTGCCAGAACCAAAAGTAAGCGTTGACATGCGACAAAAATCGTACCATAAATAACATAAAGTCTCTAGCTTGAATAGCCTACTAATGAAATTTAAATGATTGATTTAGGCAAATTAAGGCTAGTTAGGTCAAATTAGGGCATTTTACATTACTTACTTAGATATCTTTTACCTAATCACAAGCACAAGTGTGTACCTAATCACAATACCTACTATTTTGATTAGGTAAGTACACATTTGTGCACCATAATATCTACAAACCAAAAAATTAAATAAACAAACCTCTACATGTTCAACCATTTGAGTTGAGGACAGGTTGAGGACAGACAAGACAGGTATACTGTAATTCTATGGTTTATTGACTCAAGTCGTTTACCGCCGTATCGTGATTGTTCGTATTTAGCCTGCAATAAAGAATTATATTAGATCTTGCATAAAAACGAAAACGAAATTACTTGTAATAAATCATTTAGATACATATTTTAGCTATATATTTGAAAAGGCTCATATTATTTATATGGTAACCACAAAAAATATCACATCAAATTTCATAAATTCTGTTTGTAATTTCATAACATGAACTCAAAAGTGCGCCCGACTTGATGACAATGGGTCATTTTCATTTATTGGTAATTTTTGTCGTCAATAATATGTAGTAATTTAACTGAATAAAAATAAGTAAACTTTGCATAAAGTAAAGTTACAGCCTATATACGTCCCACTGCTGGGCTCAGGCCTCCCCTCATTTCTGAGAGGGTTTAGGGCAAGGAAGTGTCCGCCGCGCTGCCCAAATGCGTGTTGACGAACTTCACATGTCTTCGAAATATTTTTTTTTCTTATTCCTCAGACATGCAAGTTTCCTCACGATGTTTTCCTTCACCGCCGAGCACGTGGTAAATCAGCACTTAAAATTGCAATTAACAATTTCATTGGTGCCGGCGGGGATCGAACCCGGGTTACTCGCGTTCTGTTATATTTACAGCGAGCGTTAACCACTGAGCTACCACGGCTCTTCTAAAAATTTGAAAAACTTTACATAATGCATCAAATTACTTACTGAGTTTCACTCATCTTTAGAGCATTTTGACGTCGTTGACGTTTATTCTTCTTGAATTAAGGCATTTGTACTAATCAATCCACAATTTACACAAAATTATATTTCACAATAACAATCGTAGCGTCTTTTTGTAGTAAAAGAAAAACACGTTAGTGCATCGGTTGGTAGGTATGAGTACTCAAATAATATTATGTTTGCGGCAATACACGAAACGTCGACGACGACGACACAGCTTCCTCGTACGAACGCATACAGCGTAATGCCCATGGGCGTGCTACTTAGAACATTATTTTGAGAACAAAGTGATATTTTTTGTACTGCCATCTACATTTCGAAACCTTAGACTAGACTTATTTTAAT